GAAAATCTGAGCACTAGTATTTATGCAAAAAAATTGCACCATGTACTAATCTACTAAACTTTTGACTATGGTAAACAGTTTATAAAATATTTATTTTACATAAAAAACTGAGCACTTGTACATCCAAACAAAATAGTGCTTAATGTATAAGTGCACTATACTTTTCAATTGGATAAACAGCTAGCATACAAAATTTTTCAACTCATCAAATCTAGTACTAACATACATCTTAAATAACACTCAAACTCTTTCAATATGTAAAATCTTTAGGCAGGCTCTCAGTATTTCTGATTTCTTTCATAAAAATACTTTCTCAAAGGCATCTCAGACTAAGCTTTGCTTACTGTTGCACTATTTTCACGTGGACTCATTCAATTGAACTCCAACCTCCTGATTACAAGTTCATTGAGTTTGGGCATAATACTTTGTGGCAAAAAGATGATTTGATATGTCTCTTTAACATAGCCCAAAAAAAGTGTTAGAAAAAGCCAGGTCCCACAAATTGTAAATGAATTCCTGAGGGGCCTCTCTACTCCCAGAGCCGGTATCTTCAAATTCATTTGCATGATACATGTGCTTGCCATTGGTAACAGGGAATCTGTTGCAAGTGAAAATGTCAGACTCATATCACTTGGAAATCCCAGTGAGGGGATTTCCCTTACACCAGTGCAGAATGCCAGAACATGTCCTAAAGTTACACTCTTCTACCTGCTGAGAAAGAAAAAGTACACTATTAAATATAATCTTCAGCATTAATCTGCCACTTCTCTCAGATACCTTAAGAACTGTCCTTAAGTATGCTCTTCTTCTCTGCGCCTGGATGACTGAGGCGCAGAGAATTCTGCTTTCAGAAGCCTCTGTATTTTTGGAAAATTGAGGCTTGTATTTGAATCCTTAAAAACCATTCTCAGTGTGGGGAGTTTTTCCATCAACTACAATTAAAGTTGAAAAGTTGTTATCATTAATAAAATTGCTAGAAATATTTTAAAAAAATGAATATGCAATAGGATTTAATGAACAATAAAGCAGTACCATAGACGTGTAACTGCATGTAAAATTTATAATTAGGTTTGTTGATAAATTGATAATCAAAAATTGAAAATCATTATAATCATAATAATGATACTGATCTTATCCATTAAGTTATAACTTAAAAACCCAGTTTCCCTACCTATATCAATTAAAATCACGAAGTTAATTAACAGAATTAAAAGGGGTATAATAAATAAAAATGTTCATCATTATTAAATCAAACACACATGTCATAAATGGTCAGTCTACACTCTCAGAAACCGTGTAAAAAGCTGCACAAACTGCTGGACAATTGCATTACCATATATTCTGTCATTTCAGCATTTTGAAGCAATGTTTATATATTGTAAGACTAAGTCATTTTTGGCAACAGAAAGTATGCCATTTTAAAAGTCCCTTTTCACTTGAAATATATACATTTACCTGTATAATCCCCACCCTCCTTAGTCCTGACAAAAACTGTTTGTGGTGTTTTGTTTCTTTTTCCAATATACATTCCACAAAGGTTGGGTAGGTCCACCTTGCAGCAGGCTAAGTCCTGTAAAATGTTTAATATGTTTAATATATCTATATATCTCTCTAGTGGCAGATTTAGAGGGGGGCATGGGGGTCCTGAAAAAATTAAAATTAACTACTAGTAAATATTCACCTCATGGAATAAGAATTTTGACTGCATGATATATACCAAAAACACAGTTCTCTCTCTTAAATACCAAACAATATGTCTTCGCATCCATGGACCCCCACCCTTCAAATAATCCTGAATCTGCCGCTGATATAACTAATAGTTACAAATATATTTCAATCCATACAATGCAGTATTTTAAATTGTGAATTACCATTGCTAATGTATATTTTTTTCATCAATTAAATTGATTTTATGCTGATGGACATGCTATTTTCATATGCTTGTTACCCAACCCATACAGCTCATCATTAATTTTTTTAACCCAATACCTAGATTTATTCTTATTTCAAAATAGTATACCTAGTGCATTGTACACACCACAAATTAGTCCACCCAAAAAATATTCTTGGGAGGCGCATAAAAAATCATCTTCTATAAGGGTGACGACACCATTTTCTTCCTTCATAAGCCTGTTCTATGTTTCTGTTACCGTAATTTGCAAGAATTCTCTTCTTGGGCCGCCATAATCAATGGCCTCCTCGCCATGAAAAGTCACGTACAGGGGATAGCATAGATTTTCTACTGTCAACAATTGTTCAAGGCCATCCTCCCACACAGAATATCTGCTAACAAATATTTCTGTGCGGTCATAACTTGGGGTTTCCTCTGTATCTATTTCTACAGTATCCATGGTACGACCCTCCAGATATTCACTACTGAATACTCTGAGTATTTTTTCAGGGTTCACTTCATCTTCTCTGAAAAATGAATATGTATTTTGTGTATAAGTTTTTCTTCAAACCAATTCATAAATAAATAAGATAATATCCTTTCAAATGCTTTCATTTTAATCCAAATCCCCTCTTTATTTTGTATCAATTATGTCTTTTTGTTTTTCCAATTTTCTGACTTTGGTGGTGGAGGGCTTTTCGTGTCTTTCGCTTTCTCTTTCTTTATCAACTCTTTAATTTCATCTAGCTTCATGTCTAACTTCTTTTCAAGCTGGTGTAGCTGACTTTCAGTCACAACAGCCTCTAGATTCGCTGCCCTAATACTCGGTCTTTTCACTGTCTCTTCTCTTAGACTGTTGTACATCGCAAGGGCCTCCCTTGCTTCATCCAGATTTTTGGATGTTTTCATGCCCACTGCTACGGCAGCTTGATGATCTGGCAAACCTTTGATGAAGTGGCGCAATGCAATTGTCTCTTGGGTGGTGCAGTCAGCCGTCGGGTAGCCCTTTAGTACAAGTTTTCTAATATCGGAGATATATTCTGGCAGTTTCTCTCTTGGGTTGAGCTTTCTGTTCTCTAGCTGTGATAAATAGGAGCTTGTTGTACGCTTTTGAAATTGGTTTTGCAACGCCCTCTGTAACAGAGGATAGGAATTTACTACCTCTGCTGGCAACTGGACAAAGGCGAAATCAGCAGCCTCACCATGCAGACTGTTACATAATCTAAACAGTTTTTCTGACTCACTCCATTCACAAGTCTGGCATAGAACTTTGAATGGCTCAATGAAACCCTCCCAGGATTCTTTTCCACGAAAGAGAGTCTGTCTGGGCAATGGAATTCCATAATTAGTTTGCATACTAGTAGGACTAGGGCTGTTAATTCTGTGAAATGGGGGTGTTATTTCATTTGGTGCTGGGTGATTAAGGGTAGGGGTTATTGTTTCTGTTATGACTGCATTCTGGGCTCTGTGTTCCATTGGCGTAGCTGTCTCTTTCTGTCGCTTCAGGGCTCTGCCTCTGCTTCTTCTACAGCAACTTGAATTCTGTGCGCAGAATTTTCTTTTTCAGATTCAAGAGCTCTGCAGGCTTCTTCTAACTGCTCCTCCATGTTTCTCACTTCCTCCTGGTCAGATCTGTTGTCCTTTTTAGGGGGCATTTTGAATTTCTTGATTTTTCTTTGATTTCTTGAGTTTTTCTTCCAACAAGATCATTAAGTAGCTGAGGTCGTCAGGTGTGGCCTTTGCGCTGCAGTCGTAAAGTATTAGAAATTGGTTTTGTAATGTAATCCTTTTTTACAGGGCTGTGAAGCAGGTAATGTCCATTTGAAGTGTCATCATCGCATACTTTCTCAATAAAGTTATGTTTCTCTTGATTCTTGATGATAGTGTCATACATGCGTCGCTTTTCTGCAGGTAATTTTCATACGGTATTACGAGTTTGATGCGATAATTTGTAGGTAGAGGACTGTGGTCAGTTTTCCAAGTCAATTTGGCCACATATTGTCACCACGTCTTTCAATGTAACTTCTCTGAAAATTCTGAAAATCACTCTTTTGTTTAGCATGAAGAAGGGCGTGGTGCTTTCCATTACAACTTCTGCAGCGAAATTTAGAAAGGCATTTTTGGCTTGTATGGTTGGGCGTAAGACCGCTAAATCATAGATGGCCTCTTTTTGCTATTTCATGGTGTTTTTCCTGTTCCAACACAACTAGGCATGTGATAGAGCAGCATTTCATTTTTCTTTTCGGCTTGTTCGTTGTTTTCTTTGTGTTACTATTGGTAAAAAACGCTGCAGTGGGTCAGTACAATTTCTGTTGATTGAACCCATCTATTTCTCCAGCTTTGATTTATTTTCAAACATCGGTTATGGAATTTCTCATTTTGTTTAAAAACTCAACCAACTCTTCCTCCTCTAATAGTGGATTTAAGACTCCCTATCTCCACCCTGTCTATCATCTCTCAACTGCTCCTCTTTGTGTGAGACAGATTCTGTGTTGGAACTGCATGCTAGTGAACTTTCTTCACAGGCATTTGCTGTCTCAACATACATTCTTGCCACCCTTCCCACTCTGTTGGATGACATACTGAGGACTGCATGCATTGGCTCAGCAGCCTCTATTTATATGACTTTTGAACAAGTATGGTGGCTGGTAGGCACTCATACACGTATTTATTTTATTGAAAAAATTGTCTTTGTAAACCTTGTAAATTTATTTCAAATGCTGGCACAAATACAATGTTTTAACTAAGATATGATTTTTATCATGATATTAATAAGGCATACATGATATAATATAAATGAAATATATATTTAGTACATGCTCATGTAGGCCACCATCCCACACCTATTTTATTATGGTTGCTTGCAACCTTCTAGCAATGTTTTCAATTGCTTGCAACCAGTGAAAACTTGTTTGCGACCAAGGACCATCAATCGACCATGTAGTTACAGTTGGTATGCAACTGGTTATAGTTTGGTCATAGCAACCTACTGACAACCAAAAAGAGATCAATAGGCAACCTCTGAGATACCACTATTTTTCAAGTTATCATTCGCATTGGTTGTCAGTGCAAAAAAAAAAAAAAAAAAAAATGGCCATCATGTGTCAACAATTGCAGGTGACCTGTTAGCAACCTCATGTGACCACTTCAAAACCTATGGCAGGTAAGGTTGCAAGCCCAGTGTGACCCAGGCAAACAAGCAAAAGGCATCTAGCAACAATTGTTGCTAATAAGCAGGACAACAAAACAAAAGAACTATTGAAAAATATTTATTGACACTTCCCCAGCCTTTATGATAAAATATTTTGGATTATGCTTTTAGCTTAGAACTACATCTTTTTTTTTTTTAATATCTGAAACACATCATGGAGCACCTTTATCAATGTCATAATCATAACTACGCATAAATCTAATTTTTTCTACTCTCCAACTCTGCTTGATATCAACCAAAGACAGTATATTAAAGAATATTTATGAGCCTCGTCAAACTGATACATGATGACTATGTATGGTCCTCAGATGTTATGCTTAAACAAAATGTGTCTTGAAATGGATTAACACGAGAGAAATATGGCATATTAAATAAGATCATGACAGATGTTTTAATTTGTCAAGCTAATGAGCACAATAAATGTGTTTTGATCTAAGAAAACATACTGTTTTTTCCTTTTATTTCTTGTTTATCCAGTAAAATACTGCATGGTCTTGTATACTTCATATAAGAAAGAATAAGGTTTCTTTCAAAGCACTGACTAGATTCACATATATACCAAACTAATTATTCGTCCATGTAAATAACTCTCATTAGTGCTATTTTAGAATTATCTACAGAACAAAATGTCAACAATACATCTCCGAAAATATAAGACTAGATCAACCAATAAATTTTACCCTTTGTCTACATCACTAAGCACTATTTTTCTGAAATACTCTTTTTCTAATTTAAAGATAATAAAATACCTGTCACAGCTAAATGTTGAAAGGAAGAGATCAAATATTACACATCTTTGGACCTTCCACCTGTAAGTTGCTTTTAGCATGGATCATTTAGTCTTGAATCAACTATGTGTGAATGTAAAAATATATTGATATAGGGGTTCATTTGTGTAAAGAACAAAGTTATTAGGAATGGATGAGTTTTTACTGTACGTAAACCAAGTATCAAATAAGACTTGGCTTAGTGAGAGAACTTTTGCTGAAAGTACATGCATGTAATTGCCATTCAACATAAAATTAAATTGTAACTTGAAACATTTTATTAGGATACTATATATCATGTGTTTTTCACGTACAATTGCAAAGTATTTAGAATGATTCTTTACTAAAATGAACCCTTTTTCAATCTGTTTCTATTATTTTGTTAAATCTACACAGATATTGTCAACAGCATGCACACATTCAGCATGCTTATATTAAATGCTACTCAAAAATGCAAACATTTCCCATAGAATCATAACTACAAGCAAAATAACATACAGTCAATGTACATAATAATGCAGTAACTTCTATGAACAGCGGCCTCTATTTCTGATGATGAGATCAACTAAGTTTTCCCAATTCTGCCTTTTTAAAAATCTCTGCAGCAGTGAAGATAAGGGAGTCAATGATGCCAGCCACTGTGAATGTTCCTCCTAGAATGGCACAGATCTGAAAGACAGAACAGCATTTTACTAGAAAACTTATAAAAAAAAGTAGCCATTCTATCTATCAGAAGCAGGGACAATATACAGGGTATTCACTAGAGATTTTTCCAACAGTAACTGGATTAATACTGTAATATGTCATCATTTAGTCTGTACCACATGACATCTGTTGTCTTGTAAAAGGCAGACATACGCAGTCATGTGCCCCCTTTTACAAGTTATGTAAAATAAAGTGAAAATATATTTGCATAAATTGAAATCTAGAATAGAATATTAAATCCTCCTTCCCACACCCTGTTCTGTACTAAATTTTAAACTTCTCAGATACTTACCATGGTAAGGAAACTATAAAACGGTTTCCTTTTCTCTGTGTATTTCACTGTAATAGGACTGAGGTCAATTCTGAACCAAATTGCTGGTAGTACTCTATGTCCATGTCCATATTGTAAATAATCCTGCAATAAAATTTTGCATTTTCATGAAGTGAACATTTACCAAAATGCTTGTTGACTTGGATGGAAAGGATGATGAGCAACAACAAGGAAAATATTTAGTGAGTCATGTTAACACATAGGTATGCCATTTTTTATCATCTACATACAAAAAGATGAAAATGAAATGACATGATGTCTTCCACACCAAAACAATTTATTAAACAGCACTTACTCTATAAGCATATGTGTATTGGTATGGATAAGATATTTTGCCTCCAACTGTTTCAAATATTGAGGGAACTATCTTCAAGAAGTAATCATGAGATGACAAGGCTGAAAAAGAAACATGCACATCTGTTATGAACTTGAAAAATTAATATTTCATTTCATATTTTTTAGAATATTGTGGCATTTAAAGTCACTAAAATGATTTTAAATCAAGACATACCTCCTTAAGCCAAATGGCTTATGTTTCACTGACACAAATTATATTTAAATTTGATTAATGCAAAAGTTAAAATCTTACGGTTAGCATCCTGTTTCTCCACATCTTTAAGTGGATTAAAGGATCCAGGTAAATGTGAATGCTGAAAAATAAGGGGGAATTTAAAAAAAAAATCAGTAAATCAATAAATATTCAATATTTAAAGCTGATCAGTTAAATCAAAACTTTAACTTAAGATAGCATCTGTTTCTGTGCAACTCGTGTCTTCATTAAGAGAGTGACTCAAGTATAAGAAACTAAGGACTTAAAACCAGGGCCCTGTTTCGTCAGTGATGGATAGCACTTTCCTATGGATAACACTATCCATTGAATAGAATAGCTATCCTTTGGACAGATATTCTGAGGATAGCAGCCAAATTTAACCACCAGATATCAATATCAGAGACAAAAATAAGTATCTAGCCTTTCAGAAATATTACCTTACCCAAAGCATAACTGTCCTTAGGATAACAAATTTATCCAATGGATAATGTTATCCAGAGGATAGTGCTATCCAGTGGTGATGAAACTGGGCCCAGGTTTATAAATCGTAATTTTGTTGAAAGTTTTGGACAGGGTTTACCTTGTTAGTTAAAGAAAAATGTTTTTTTGCTATGTAAATGTCTAAACTGCATTGTACACCTTTAAAAAGGTATGGTTTTTCTACCTTTCCTTTTGTGTCTCCAAACACAAGACTATGGATAATGTGATTCATGTTGGGGCTATCTGGTTGAACCTGGGATGCATGTGTTGATATATGGAAATTGCCAGGTACCTGAAATGACAAAAATGTAAATTTTTTCACTTTAATCAAAAGCATATCACTCATTCTAACTATAAAACATATAAACTCATTTAAAACTATAACTGTATTTACACTGTGATAAAAGTAAATCTAAGCATCAAAGTTGACACATATACAGACATCATACACTGCATGTATTTTACTGATTTACTTGCCAAAATGAATTTTCCTGGGGGGGAAAAAGCAAACCTTTCCTTGACCCATTCCCTCCTCATTTATTTCAATTTTTTTACAATTTAATTAAATAATTAAGTTCTAAATGTCTGGCCAGTCATTTAGAACAACGTTTGCATTCCTGACCTTCAACAAGCATGACAGCTTCATAACACATGAAAATGGCACTGATTTTAGTATTGGGCCCATGCTACGTGACATGGCTATCAGTGAAGGCTGGGATATCAACACCAAGTACATTTCAGGTTAACTTTTATTTAAGGAGTTACGTTGTCTTTAAGGTGTAAATAAGGATTTTTTATAAGCTTTACAGGATAAAAATGTGACTGTGGAGAATAAGGCTTTGTTCACATGGAAAGTCTATTTTCTAAAAATCTATTTTCTATTCGCGGTATCTTATGATCACAGTCTGTGCCCTGAATATCCCACGGCGTAATTACTGGCAGCACGAGCCAGTTACTTATAGTAACTTATAGTAACTGGCTCGCGCTGCCAGTAATTACGCCGCGGGATATTCAGGGCACAGACCGTGATCACAAGATATACCGCGAATAGAAAATAGATTTTTAGAAAATAGACTTTCCATGTGAAC